TTTCACTCCAAAGCGAGTTTCCAGCTATCGTGATAAAATTCTCGCGCAACTCAACCGAACCTCAACTCAAAGTTCATCTCAATCCAGCACCTCATCGAAAACATCAGTCACAAACATATCTGAAAGAACTTCGCATAAATCCTCCCAAACCATCACTCAAGCACAAACTGGTCAGTTCAAACCGCCACTATTCCGCTTCAGACTAGTCGTGCCTAAACCCTAGAATATCTCACAGCTTTCTTAAATCGCGATTCTTTACGACAGGAATCTCCAAATTGCTCGAAAATTCCAAGTAATAAATCAGGCCTGAGGTCAACGTTGATTTCAACCATTTTTCGAAATGTGACCCAATTTCCATAGTTTTTTGATGTTACACTTTTGTTTGAATCACATTTTAATTTCGAAGTAATGTTTTGGAAAGATCGCAATGAGCACTAATGTGAGTAAAAATGATCATTCGTTAATGGTTACTATAAACAAAGCGAAAAGACCAGTGAGAGCTCGGGTGAAACGGAATTCAAACAAATCATTAATGAACATTCAGGAGGCTATGAGATGATGGCCGAAGGGTCCGGCAAAGAAACTTCTGACAGTGATAGTGGTTACGCTGGCAATCGTGTCGATGAGAACAAGCAAACTGCGATCTCCTCATCGTCGAGTCACACTGAAGGAAGCAGTCACGCAGAATCTTCGTTAGTTGCAATCGATACATCAGGTGAACTCAGAAATGATCTACCGTCTTACTCACCACATTCCTCTCAAACAAAAACACCAGAAACAAAACAAGAAATTAACTTTATAGAAGCAAAAAGCATCAAACTTTCAGAATCTACCAAGTCTTCGCATAATTACAGTACTGAAATCGGTACCAATTTTTTGAGTTCATCACATAAGTCCGGTCCATGTGGCGGCACCAATAGAAGAACGGGCACTAATAGCGGCAGCAGCAAGCAATCTTCCATCTCAGAAACAGAATTCTCTGCAAGTGGACTGACTGGTAAAGTTGGAAATAAAGCTTCCACGTCAGTAAAATCGACTGCAGGATCGTCACTGACTAGCGATACATCAAACACAAACACCTTAGCAAGCCATCAAACGATGAGCAAAAGTTCCCAACATTCAATCACAACATCAAACAGAAATC